TCTACCCTCCCCGGTTCCTGAGGAGCCACCCCTGTTCTCAGGTAAATCCCAGGAGCAGGTGTGGCTCATCAGAAGCCGGGTAGGATAGAAAACCGACTGGGTAGTAGCTCTCCAGGACCGGAGTTGGAGACCCCTGGTCTAGCGGCACCGCCGACGGCGACCTTCACAATAAAACCTCTGGAACCGTTCGATTTTTCGAAACCGCAGGAATGGGAGAAGTGGATCCGGAGATTCGAGCGCTTCAGACTGGCAAGTAACCTGGCTAATTCCTCTGAAGCCAATCAGGTAAATACATTGGTATACTGCATGGGTGACGAGGCTGACGACGTGCTACAGAGGCTCGATTTAACCGGCGAGCAGCGCCAGCAGTACAATGCAGTTAAGAGAGGGTTTGACACGTACTTTGTCCCAAAGAAAAACGTGATATATGAACGGGCCAAGTTCAATAAGAGGGTGCAGGAAAACTCGGAATCGGTGGACTCATTTCTCACGGCTCTTTATGCATTGGCTGAGAATTGTGAATATGGCGCATTACATGATGAACTTCTCAGGGACAGATTAGTGGTGGGTCTTACACTGATAAAAATATTGACCATAATCTACTTAAAAAAGGTAAGGCAACTTTTTGCATCAGATTATTGTGTAGATAAAGCAAGACTAGTCTTTGTATAAGATACTTAATTTATTGTGTGTAAGACCTATGGTTTTAAAGTAAATCCAACTTGAATTTACTAAGTAAAATCAACGTTATTTTTCAAGTAAAGCCAACTTAGTTTATCAAATGAGTTAACTTAATTTTATGAGTAACATCTATTTAATAAAGCCAAGTTTTCTTTACTTGTAAAATTAAGTTGCAATTACTACCAAAACTCATTTCTTACATACAAAAAATCAAGTAGTCTACACAAAGACTAGCTTTACTTTATCTACATAATAAAGTGATGCAAAAAGTTGCCTTACCTTTTTTAAGTAGATCAGACACAACAACTCAAATCATGTTTGGTCTACTCAAAAAGTATATGTCCTCTATCTGTGACAATCCCCATCACAAATCAATGTGCATGGAGCCAAGACTTGACCATAATGATAAATAACCAAGAGCTGCAACTATTAGTTGATTAATGAATTAGTTGCTAACAACAATTTGTATAATTTTCTTTGAGTCATATTTTGAAGAACAAAAATCAAATTATCTGATGTGAAAGTTTTAAATTGTGGACTGTTAACACCAAACAAGAGATACTGGGTTGCATCTTTGGCTTTGGCAAACCAGTGATTTATTTTCACAATTTTCTTACAAATTGATTTATCACACATACTATTAACGAGACCCACAAGAGTCAATCTCAGGTTTATTTATGCATCTAAACCCAAAACAAAACTTGTCAGTTAGCTCAAATAAAATAAAAGTTTTGACAATAAAAGAAAAAAATCTATTCCACAGAGCTATGAACACTGACTGAATGGATAATTGCTGTCAGTACAAGACATGCTATCAGAACAAAACTGACAGTTTTTCTTAGAGGTCAGAACACCATAACAGTAACGTTCATATTCACGGTTACAGATACTGTACACTGATGAGGCAAAAATCAAAGCAAAATCCAGCAGCTCTCAAAAATTAAATTAACAATACATAACAAAATAAGGCATGTGCCAGCATACTCTTTTTAAATTAAATGTAATATTTTTCTGCATATTAGAGATACGAAAATGAAAAGTGTAACCTGAGAGCATTAGGGGAACCTCAGAATATGCAGTGTAAACCTATTAGCACAACTTGGTACGAGTGAGTTCAGTCAAAATCTACACCTTCAACATCATCTGTATGGCTTTTAAGCATGCAAACAGACCTTGATCGTGGACTTTGGAAGACATTTTTTTGTTTGCATCCTCCAGCTCCAGAAAGATCTTCTGAAAGACCTCAAATGTATATTTCAGTTTATTAGGGTACCTTAGGTCCAAGGCATAGAGAAGGCCCATCAGATAGGTGCAAGCATGAGCCACATCTGGGATACCAAAAAGGATTTCTGCTCCTTCGATGGCTATTCCAGCTTGCTTGGGGAGATCTTCTTTTGCTTTGCTGACCACAAAGATGCCGAGGACAAATGTAGTAATGGCTTCTTGGACAGCTGCAGCATCGTCGTCATTGAAAACCTGTGAAATACAACAGGGAATAAAATTTATTATTGTATATATAAAAGTATCACATATTTGGGTCTGTCATTTACAATTCTACAAATGGTTATACATCAGATATTACTTTTTTGTTATTTCACAACAGCGTTTAACCATATAACAAAGCAAAATCATATGTCAATAGAATCTAATCTAAATGTCATAAAGTAATCAAATCCAACTGCAGTAGCAGTTCTCAGAAAACCCCAGGATGTTCTTTTACATAGAGTAGAAGTAGTCTCCAGGCATCTGTGATGATTTTACATGTTTCACTGTGTCATTTTTAATTAAGACACTAAAATTTTATGAACACCACAATGGAAATAAGTACTAGATATAGTGTTCTTTTTTATTGATTGTACATTTTTCCTTTTTGTGTAGGGCATGTTGACACAATCAAATGAATCAAATCCCATTAATTTTGACATAGGCATGTTATTTAAAATCTACTAGAAAATCTTGTCAAATTATCATCATCAAACAGCTTTTTTGCACAAACTTGTATCTCATTGACAGGTCTTTGAATCAGTTATATCTTCCTTACCTTGAAGTCCTTGATTAACTCCCCTATGTTTTCACCAAGGTAGACAATGAGGCCCCTTATCACAACTTCTCTTCGGGACTCGATGTTGCTGTCCTACAAAAATATGTCAATGAGATTACTCATTAATATGAGATTAATTTAAAATACAATATTATAGACACTAGAAAGCCACTACATAAAACTAACTACTAATACATGCCTCATTTAACATGTCAAGGGTCTCAAGTTTTTTCCCCACGGCTCCACCCTTCCTCCTGTACAGGCTCAACAGCTTGGGTGTGTATTGGTCCAACTTGCCCAAGAATGTGGATTGCAGTGGCTTCAGTGTGATCCTGCGGAATTCCTCCTCTATCTGAGAGACCAGGAGAGAAACATGGAGATGTAGAAACATGAGATACACACACAAAAAAAAGAATTACAGACAAACATGGGCAAGAGAAACAGAATGAGACACAGAAACATGGTATCCTGACTGTTCTGAAAGCAACATTTACTTGATAAGTGATGTAAGAATACTGCAAAATTATCCACAGGTAATTAGGTGAGAATAGCATTCATTCTAAAAGCCTCATCTGGTAAATATATTGTTCATTTCCCCACCAGTGTTAATCAGATAAGTTTAGCCTTTATTCCCAGAGCTTCATGAGCTAAGCATTGAGCTTATTTGTGCTCACATATGATGGAGTGAACAAATTTTTGCTTTAGCTTAATTTGGGCATAAGATTGACCTTTCGCTGGCCTCGCCCCCAAAACGGCCATTGACCAATCACTCAACTGTTAGTATTTGAGCAGGTCTGACAAACATTAACTCCAAGCAAGATGGTGAAGCGGTGCGCTCACATCTACTAACTAGATGTCAGGGGGAACTCATTGCTGAGGAGCGTGGTCTACCCGCGGATGAGCGTGAGCTGGCTTGGGATTGCCACTGACTGTCAGTGACGCAGGTTGGGAATCAAAAGCACACCCAAAACACTGTTGAATCTTAAAACTGGAAGTTGTCTAACGTTCACTTGAGAAAGTGTCACCCAGGTTAAAAGGCAATGGCAGTGATACAATTCCAAAAGGTGATCTTCACCTTGTGCTAGTGAAGACATAATTAAAATGTTCAATATACCTGGGAAAATTCAAACAAGGCGGGCCATCGAGCTTTGAAGTCAATCACAGGTGGTTTGTTGAGGATTACATCACTTCGACGCAGTGAGAAGGTTTTTGCTATCTTTTCATTTATGACTTTGTTATTGTCTCGCTTCTTGCACTCATAGAGAAGGTCCACTCGCTCCTTCTCAAGTGTTGCATCGGTTTCACCTTGAGGGTGAGGTGGGAGGTAGTTTACCTCAGATTTCTTTGCCTTTTTCAAGCTTCTACATGGAGAGCTGGAGTCTTCAGTCCATTTTTTCTTTCTAGAGTTTACATTCAGCTCTGGTAGTCCAAGGTGTCTCACTTTTGCTCTGTAATTGCCAAGCTTATACTTCAAGCTGTTGTGCCAACTGTATAAACCATTGGAGGATACTGGGTCCCTCAAGCATGGGTGCTTTGCAACCAGGGCCTCGGCAACCTGCTCCCTTTGTGCTTGGGAAGGATAGGCAGTGTAAACAAAGATGCTATCTGCTAGTTTGTCCAGTATGTTGGATTTTACTGCAGGATTGTTGAGTAAGGTTCCGTCCTTACTGTAAGCTTCATTTGCAGCTTGCAGAATGAGTTCAGTATCAAAGGAGAAAGTAGGTATCTCAAACTGAGCAGGCCAAGACTCTGAACGAAGGGAGGAGGCGCTCTCTGGAGAAGACAGAATTATGGTTGATGCTGTGGAAAAGCTATCCTCTGATGACTCTACAAAACTAGAATCAACACTCTGATGGACTCCTTTTGCAGTCAAAGAATCCTCAAATGTTAGTGTGATCACTGGTTCAATAAGAACCACCTTGATAGTGTCTTTGTCCTTTATATCCTTAGTTTCAAGTAAAGTAAAAAACTGACCATCAAAATCTTGGTCCTGAAACTGAATAGTAAAATCTTGTTTAATTTCAAATGTCTCTTGTAAAATAGTCTTCAATTCCCCCACAGTCTGAGGGATTCCCAAGGGCAAGAGAAGCTTGCGAATTTCTTCCTGCAGCATGACCCGAAGTCTGACGGACATGTTGAATCTGTAGTAGGAAAAAAACCCCCAAAAGGTTATGTTGAATTCAGACATGAAAACAATGAATTTACATCTTATTACAAAGGGATAACTTAAAAGCATTTTTTAAATTTATGTTGAGTACAATCAGTATATACAGAATTATTAGTATTTTAATGCAAGTAAAGATAAATACATAAAGTAATCAGAGGTCAACAACAACACTTACATATTAACCCTCCTAACACCCTTTAATAATTGTAACACCTTTCATCCTTCTGCACAAAAATGTGCACAAGAGATTTAGGTGTTGATAAAATTATATAATCTGTATTATGTATTTACCTAATCCTGCAGGGGAATGTGACGCTTCAAGGTGACAAATCTCTTTTGCTCAACAGTGTATGCTGCTAGTGGATAGGAATCTGTTCATTCCTGTTGGTTGAGGACCATCATATGTCTTGTGGACTCCAGTTCGAAAGACCTAAGGTGCTCACTGTACCAAGAATGCAGACATTTANCTACAGTGAAGAACAAATTAGCAACTCCTTGAGCAGTGGTTAGTCTCAGCCAGAGATGAAACAGCAGTGGGGTCTTTTCTTGGTTCCTGTTTGTTTATAAGCTTTGCAAAAGTGGGAGGAGTTTCCATTATATAACAAGCAGAACATTGTAGCCCTCTTGTCAAACTCCATTCTATCTTGTTGATAAAAACTTCAGGCCATGGATATTGTGCGGAAGGGCTGCTGATTTATGATGTTCGTTGTTGTCATATGCAAAACTTGACCTAGGAAGCATAAGGTGAACGCTACGCCATGTTTTTGTTGTGAGTTTCATGTATATCGAGATATGATGGGCGATATACTGTACCGGTTTTTATTTGTGTGCGTTTATATACCTGAAAGTATTTGTTTACACATGTGCACGCATTGTATGAGGAATGTGTTTTTGCGCTTGGGATATATTTATTGTTAACTGTAAATGAGTCACTCGAAAGCAATGAAGGTTTATTTGGCGATCATTAACATAAGAGGAGCGGATATTTCCTTGCATCAATGCCGTGTTTCGAATGTTTAATATTGAATTTATTTATGTAGTTTTGTGTTACGTTTACCTCGGATGTCATGCGACGCCATGTGAACATACCGCCTTATTAGATTAGCCCAGCATAAGCCTATTGTTTTACTTCATGAATCATAATTCTTTATTGTTACTTGTTAAACTGGCGGGATGTAAGCTTAAAGTCATAGTAAGATAACTGTTAATTTAATATTGTTAAATTGATTATTATTTGGGTCTCCGCTGTGGCTAAATGTGTGTTATTTTCTGCTTAAAGAAGCACACACGCAAGAGCCTTGTTAATAACTCTCACAAATCTTCATTAAGTTGAAGAGAACATCGTCTATATCCATTCTTATTGGATGCACCACAGCAGCCACATGTTTCTAACCAGTAGTATTAGTTCCAGATACTTTCATAACAAGTAGGCCCCCGTGATCCTGGAGTGCTGCTATCTAGCAGGTTTTGCATCCTACCTGGTCTCTGATGAACCACACCTGATCTCACATAGATAGCAACCTATCATGTAAGATAGAAAATATGCTGGAGGCAGCACTTCAGGATCAGGGTTGCCTACTGCTGCTTTGGGGAATACATGTAGATTCCCCTGGCCTTGGTAGAATAGTCCATGGGCCCTTGAGCAAAGCCCTTTACCCCCAGCTCCAGGGGGAGCATGCTGGCTGACCCCAAGGATGCCCTCACCTGCATGTGTGTCTCATGGAGAGCAAGGTGGGATGGACACAGAGAAGTATTCCAATGTACTTATTCAAAAGTTGGATAATTTCTTTTATTTTAGGCACATCAGAAGACCTGTTGCATTACGGAAGATCATGATGCTTATTATTATTGAATGTTAATGAAGGAGAGGATGCTCAGCTAAATGATGTGTAGACTCATCACAACAATCAACTTACCACTGGGATATCTGAGGAATGGGAGCTGAGGGCATTCCAGAGGAGTGTTGTTTATGCATTAAGCCAGGGTCCCCGATCACAATAGCATGATAACATTAGCCTAACTAATTAGTCAAGACTGGGCGGTGGGGGTCCCAGACTTTTTTGCATTATGTAAACAAATGACATTTCATCAATTTATGCTATGCGTCTGTGCCAGGGTCGGATTATGGGTTGTGTGGGCCCCTGGGCAAAACGTTCGCGAGG